CCCACAGAAAGAGTTTCTCCTCTGAATTAGTTGCCCAATTCTTTTCCTAGTGGCTCCTAAAATAATTAAAACAAACCCCAGCCTGGAACAACCTTTAAACTTCCCGCTCTGCTCCCCATTGTTCGGATTAACAAATCACTCCTGCATCATTAATCTCCAAACTGCACTGTTGAACGAGCAATTTGTGCACAATAACCCACGGAGCAGGTATTAAACATTCCTTAAGCACGGAGCACACAAGTTACTCATTACAGAGGGAAACGTGTTGAAACATTAAGCAGAAGGCAGGAACCATAAAATGCCCCTTTCCAGTCTTTTTGAGAAGCCAAGCATGTTTTCATGCCCGTTTGAGCCTACATGTAAATGTCTCTCCTGCTTTTAAAGCAGATAATGGAACTGCCCTGGGAGACTGAAGCTCTGGGTCGATCAGGTCTATCAGGGATGGGTGTTGGGTCTGACACAACATGGCTGAGCAACTTCTTTGATGATGAAGGGAAGTTAAACCACTGCAGGGGTCACATCAGGTTGGCACCAGACACCTCATGGAAAGATAAGGCGATGCCATCCCCTTTTTGGGATGGAGGGATGGGTGACAGGCTCGACCAGCTCTTGGAAGCAGCTGGGGAACATTTCCTTACCTGATCAAGTAGCAACAGAAGAGCAAGCTGAGGATGAAGACGAAGATGGCAGTGCCAAAAACCACGATGTATATGTTGAGAGGCAGGTTCTGGAACCCGATGTTCGGCATCCTGAAACTGTAATGCTGGAAGTCCGAGCTCATGGGTAGGCTGTGGAGACAGGGAGAAAACATGTGGATGTAAGGCTCCTTTGGCAGCACAGGATGCCCTTCTGAGACCAGTGGCCCCTCCAAAGGCCAGCAGAGCAGCAGAGGGGATGCAGAGGGCAGCCAGCAATGCTGCCTTCTCACTCCTCATCCCCTAGGGTAAAAGCATCCTTGCCTGAAACTGAGCCCTGAAATCAAAGCAAGGCTGATCAGCTGGGACTGGGTCTTTTCTTCTCCTGCTGTGAGCTTCTCCTCCAGCTCTCTTCTCTTCCCTGTACACATCAACCTTTAAGTTAAACTCTGCATCAGACGGACAGCAGGTATTCGCATCTGAGTGGCTCTGACTGTAGCCAATGTCCCCTTAATCCCTCACTAATTAGGTGAAAATACTGCAAGCAGCCAGAGAGCCTTCCAGCAAGGCAGCTTTGCCTTTCCTTCCCCTCCTCTGCTTTTTGAGATAAATTCCTTATTCCACAGAAATCCCCCCTCCAAAACCATCAAGCACGTGCATGAACCAGCCTGGGTTCCACATGCTCCCACTGCACCAACAGAAAGGAGAGGATAAGGACACTACCACCTGGCAGTGCCACCAAGAAATTATAGGGGCCATAAAAGAGGCTTCCTTTGTCTTTTTCAACGTGAGATCCAGGTTTGCTGATTTAAGGGCATTTTTGCAGTTCCCCCCAGCAGAGCCCCAAAACACCCACAAGCAGAAGATGCAACAATTTTGGCTGTCAATGTCTCGGACGTGTGACCAAAACCTCCCTCCCCTCAGAGAGAACCAATTAAAACACGAGCAGCTGCCTGGGATAACGACTCCAACGTATCATCTCTCTCGTGATTTGGGTTTTATGATTCATGGCACGGGATCCTAATATTTTACAATAACCCTAACAGAGTGTTTTTTAGGCAGAAAACCAGCCCAATGTCTCTGTATCGCCATAAAACCCCCCTCGCTGCCGTAACACTCGAAACACTTAACTGGAAAGCACATTTATTTATATTTTCTTTTTAATATTCCTTCTATTGGAATCATTCTCTAAGCCATTAACCCCTGAACAAGCACAATCATCTCTGGCCAGGCATAAAGTTCACCTACCCACAGTTTAGAAAAAAGGAAGTTAAAAACCATGCCTTGTTTTCCTTCCTGCCCACAGGAGAGGGCCGAACCTGGTGTGCAAATAAATTTCACAATGAGCAGGGCAAGTGCCTGCAGCCTGAACCCCACTTCTCAAATAAAATTACTGAGGGATAACAAAACCCTTCCCTGGAGCAGGGAGTTTTCAATGGTGCATTAACTGCACAGCTCCCAATTTTGCATGAGATGGCAGGGAAACCACAGGACCTGAACCCAAAGGTGCCAGGGATTGATTACCCAAACATCAAAGCATCCTCTGAACATCCTGCTCCTTCTCCAAGCAGCATCCTGGCTCCTGCATCTCCTTTCTCCCTTCATACTCCTTTTTTTTTGCCAAACCTCCATCCTCCCATCTAACCTGCATGGCTCCTTGTGTGTTCCCCAGGTGCTATGCAGGGAGCAGACTCACCTTCCATCCTGGCTGTGTCACTGGCTCTAGCCCTTCACCCACACCCTCCTCGCCAAAGGCAGCATCTCCTCCAGCACCCAACGCCCGCCCGAGAACCTCCTGCTCCAGCTGCTTTCGGTTTCCTGGGATCACTAGAAGTTTCCAAATGATTTCTGGTAAAGCCTGGATTTGATTAAAGCCTCCAGAGAGCAACACGCAAGTTCAGGAACTCTCCCAGCCAACGTGGAAATGCTACAAGAGCTCGGGAGCCGACACTCCCCCTGCCAGCACTGGTGGGGACGGGATTTTATAGCACAGCAACTACCCAGCAGCTCATGCTCCTCCACCAATGCTGGCTCCGCTCAGCTGAGCAGGTTTGCTTTGCAAATCAATTAAAGAAAGCCCAAAGCAGCCCCCAAACCTTTGTTCCCAGCTCTGCTGGAGTTAATGCGCAGCTCAGCGCGGCTGCGTGGGGCTGGGTTGGGTTTGTCTCCGCGCCGCTTGCTGGGTCAAAGGGATTTTAGATGGTTCAGGGACTCGGTCACGGTCACGCAACGGAGGATGTTTCAGCTGGAGGATGAGGTTCCAGCTGTCCCCACTTGCCCTCAGGCTTGTGTCAATAGTCACTGGTGTGGGCCAAGGTGTTGGTCAAAGTTGACCGGCTCCAGCTCTTCAACTACTCAAGAGAAACACCAAATGCCCTCAGTTTGGGAAAGCTCAAGGTGATTTTTGACAAGGAAGGAGAGACTGCTCTTGGAGAAGCAGCAACAAGACCAACCAGCACCAGACTACTATTTTTCATTCCTTTCCAATTCCTTTAACTTTTGATGCTCTTTACCAGAGCAGGAGGCTTTGGTTCGGCTCTCCCACCAGGAGATGCCACAGCGGACCAAGCACAGAAGCAGAGATACATGGAAGGTAGATCCACAGGTAAGGAAGATCCAGACTGCATTTAGGACAGCAAATCTAATCGAGCCAGAAAAACTCCTTACAGTTGTGTCTAGCTGAGCCATGCAGCTCTTCCACTGATCCCCATGACCATGTCCACAGCCCCTGGCACAAAAACGGTCAGTAGAAACGGAGCTCCATCCCACCTATGGCATCCTACTCTCCTCTTCCAGCAGTACCACTTCTCTAATATTTTGCCCCCAAAGGATGTCACTGATCCAGCCATGACCTACCTACTGGCTGTATGGCAGGGGCTCAACCTCTTGGGTACAACCCTTCCATCCCCTACAGTGCAAGTCCAGCAAGTCCCCCACCAGACTCATCCAACCCCTGCATGAAACAACCTCCACACTGGAGCTACCTTGGTCCTCCCCCTCCTCCTGCTGCAGCAGATGAGAAACATTATGGCAAAGACCCCAGAGCTTAGAGGGGAAAAAATAAGCTAGCCTGCACAGGATCCAGGAAACTGTTAACTTTCAAAGACCTCACTGAAATCTGATGATTTTAAGCAGCCAAGCTTTGGGGTTGGGTTTTTTTATTAGGGGAGTGGAGCGGGGAGAGGAACTGTATTTTAATCTGCTTCAGATTCGTGAGAACGCAGCCAAAAGAAATAAAAAAGAAGCTGTAAAGACGGATGAAAAGTTTCTGGTGCAGGAACAAAAGCCTCCCTGTTGCTCTCTCCATAGCCAAGGCATTTCAGAGCAGGCAGATGCCCCTCCTGGAGCACCCACCACCCCAGCAGGTCCCCAGAGCCCGCAGGATGGAGGGCACAAGATGCCCAGGGGAAAAGGAGTTGGTACCACAGAAACCTTACAGAGGGGAGAATTTCCCCAGGGCTGGATGAAACCACCTCTGCAGTGTGTGGTTATGGGAGGAGGGAAGATACTGACTTGCTCCTCATTTGAAAAATGAACTGACTGCAATGACAGAGATGAAGCAGTGGCATGTAGTGACAGGATGAGGAGGGAACAGTTTCAAACTGGAAGAGGGGAGATTTACGTTAGACATTAAGAAGAAATTCTTTAGTATGAGGGTGGTGAGACCCTGGCCCAGGATGCCCAGAGAAGCTGTGGCTGCCCCATCCCTGGCAGTGTTGAAGGGCAGGTTGGATGGGGCTTGGAGCAACCTGGGCTGGTGGGAGGTGTCCCTGCCCATGCAGGGGGGTTGGAACTGGATGACCTCTAAGGTCCTTTCCAATCCAAACCAGTCTGGGGTTCTATGAATTTGGGCAGACACCTGCCCCATGCCCCATTTCTGCAGAGGTCTCTGACTGCAACTGTTGGGTCTGTATGTCCTGGCAGAGCATTAAATCACTGGGAGAGAAGCAGTAAATGTTGAGGGCTGGGAAGGATGCCTGCTGGCCAGCAGTGCTTGGGACAGAAGAAATAAATTTTCTGCAGAAAGATAAAAC